TCCATCTGGAGTCCCATCATTGAGACTCTAAGAAAGAACCCTGAACTATTCCCAGAGTATCGAATGACTGATGGCTTACTCTTCTTTATAGACAAAACCGAAGAACGATTGTGTGTTCCTCACCACAAACCGATTAAAAGTTTAATCATTGGGGAATGCCATGATGCAGAAGGACACTTTGGTTTTAAGAAGACATACGCCGATGTCCGAGAAAGATTTGAATGGAAAGGAATGAAGGAAGATGTAATAACCTATATGCGGACTAGTCTTGTCTGTCAGAGGAACAAACCCTCACATGAGAATCCGATGGGACTACTGAGACCACTGCCTATTCCAAGTGAGTCAGGTGAGTCTATCTCTATTGACTTCATGAGCCTCACTAAGAGTAAAAACGACAACAGTCAAGTAATGGTCATCGTCGATAGATTCTCTAAGTATGCTATGTTCATTCCTTTGCCTGATGAAGCTAGAACCGAACTAGTGATTCAAAAATTCCAGATGCAATGGTTTTTTGAGTATGGATTTCCGAAAACCATTGTCTCTGACATAGATGTTCGGTTCACTAGTCTACAATGGCAGAAGATGATGGAAGTCTATGGCACCAAGGTTGACCATGTCGTCGGGCAGACATCCTGAAACCAATGGTCAAACTGAGCAAATGAATCGTCTATGCCAACAACTTTTGCGAATGTATGTCCGACCTGATCAGGTTGATTGGGATGAGAACTTACCCAAAATTGCTAGTGCTTATAACAACAGCGTGCATACTGTCACAGGTAGAACACCGAATGCCTGCATAAGGGTTAGAAGCCTCGGCGCCCCATTGACGCCCTGACCAAAGATCAGATTCAGAGGCTAACCCCGGGTACACGTGAGTTTGCAGTTCTATATGAAGAAGACATTAAGAAGGTAAAGGAAAACATACAAAAGGTCGAATTACAAATGATTGAACAGGCTAATAAGCATTGCCGACCTTCACAATTTCAAGAAGGAAATTTTGTTTGGGTTAAATCTAAAGAGTTTCCTTAGAAGAAAATGTATCTCAAAAACTGCTACCTATCTACTTTGGACCTTGGGAAGTTTTCAAGGTGATTGGAGATGCAGACGGACCGTCCTATCGCATTGATATACCTCCACACCTAAGGACGTACCCTGTCTTTCACGCATCTAAACTATTGCCCTATGTAGAAAGTGACAACTTTCCTAATAGGCCATCAATGTTCCCACCTTCTATGAATGGAGGTTACGAAGTTGAGAAAATATTGGAACATGGCTAATTTTCTACGGGTGGCAGAGGACGACCGCAGAAGCAGTACAAGGTACAGTTCAAGTCTCAACCTCCATCTGAAGCCAGATGGTTTAGTCGAAAAGAACTCTTACCTACTGCTCCTGATATTGTTAATGCATATGAACGTGGGTTAACTGGGAATTAATGTATTTTC